ATTGGACGGTTTTACAAAACATATTATACTGCATTAAAATCAATGTTGTCTCAGAGTGAATGAACGACAGACGTGTGGGAAGAACGATTAAACGAAAAAACATGTACAGGAAATGACTTTCAATAGATGACGATGAAATCAGGAAACGGAAGAGGTCTTGGAGTGGGCGACGTAAACTCTCCGAGAAAATAATATCAAGAATAAAATATTGGAGAAGCTGTAAGTTCTCACGTCTTTATATTAGTTATCAGACCCAAAAGGGCGGCATTTAGAATGCAAACAATTAGAAACTCAGTGTCGTATTGCATGCATGTGCTTATCGTGTCAGTAATTTATGCATTTATTGCGCGATTTTGTTTTTAAGGCATTCATGCATGAGACACGCGCTTTGACCCCCTTTGGAAACGCCGCATCAGAGTCAATCGTATGATAATCACGGTGCATTTGAAGAGATTTAACGCACCGCGAGCTCCTCGACAACTCCCATCATAAAACATAACTTCGCCTCAAAACTCGCAGTTCGGAAAAAAAAAAAAAAGTTGGAACTTAATCTCGCTTTATCAAGATGGGGTCTTGTATGAGCATGATTTGTCAGTGTCATCTCTGTAGGTGTTGTGAATGCGGTCCCCCATGTTACTGTTGTCGATGCTGCAAACACTGGTTCGGAGATTGGTGGATGTGCAGTGACTGCTGTGATGATTTCTCTGATGAAGAGTATTACCCAGTTAATCCAACGAAAAACGATAAAGAAGCGCCACCGGATGACGGAGAAGGGATGTATAAATATCCGAACGGGGACGTGTACGTCGGCGAATGGAGACGGGGCAAGCGACATGGCTATGGAGAACTTGTAAAGAAAGACGGAACGCAGTGAGTAGTCACGTACTGCAAACCTTGATGTTTAATTTATGTTCAATTCAGAGTTTACTTAAACAAACGCTTGTGAGGTACAATCGAGGCATTCAAACACTGCTTCTGTTCTATTTCATTCTAGAATATTATTAACTGTTGTTTTGAAAACATTCAGTTTATTTTGACGGTTAAATTGACAACGGAGTCGAATGAAAAATTTCGCAATTAGTTTAACATGTCACGCCAGACTGCTTCAAGCCAAGAGCGGTGTAAGTTCCCCGGAAAAAGTGAAAAAAAGGTTCATAAATCATTTTTCTTTGCACATCGACGAAGCAATGGCCATTGTTGTTCTTATTGTTTAAAAATTGGTTTGTCTTTGTTTTTTTTTACATTAAGCATTTTCATAGGAAGCACGTCACATCGGATTGATATTCGAGCGCGTCTTGAACGAAAGTTCGAGTGACTCAGAAAATGTCGAAATAATATCCTAAGAGTGCAACCATTTGAAATTTCGCAGTAAATTTTACCAAGACCAGTATTGTGAATAAGCTCAATTTTGTTGTTTCTCTTTCAAGCATTAATCTCAAAGTTAACATGGCTACTTTAAAAGTCAGATTGGTTTATTGACGAGAAGGCGGCTGTCGAAACGAGAAACTGGTATTGAACACAATTTACATGAACTTTCTTGAAGAATACCCCATCGAAGGTTTTAGAAACCGAGCAAAAAGATCACCGCTTAGGGGTTCCTTTTTGATAAAAGTCTTGTTTATACTTTAAAAGCTTACTGCTGCTACTTAGTTTCATGTCTGGCGTTTAATGTACATCAAAACCCACTAGAAATGGGGCAATTCAAACTTCATTCTTGAGATAGAAGCAGAGCAGAGTGAAGACTGTTCTAGAGAGGAGAAAAAACGATTTATGGTACCGACGTGTAGATTCATTTCGGTGGTTGATCATCTGGTTGCCCTCTTGACTGATATATTCAAAAATGCAGATTTGGTAAGGCACCGTTGAATGATCATTTTTGGACTTAAATTTTACACGGTGCAGTATTTTTTATCATATCGGGTTCCAAAACATTTCCATCAGTTTTAAAAACAGGGTGTGTTTATATTCGATCTTTAAAACACGTCAAGACCTTGACAATTGGATAAATCATATAACTTTCAGTTGTCTAACAAAGTTAGACAACAAAGGAGAAATTTGCAATTCAATTTGTTAATTCAACTTAAAGTACTTTTTGTTTATATTCAAATTTTGGATGAAAAATTATATTATTCCTAAGGTTTCGAACGTTATGGAGATCGATGAGTGATTTCCGTCTTCTCTCTCTTCGTGTTAATTGGAACTTCTGCCCATCAACTTAAATTTATTTTCTAACCGTCTAACACTCAAATATCATAATATACAAGCTTTTGCCCGGACGAGACATATTCTGCCATCTAATATCGAGAGAACCTAATTACGTCACTATGGTAACATCAGCTTTTACCAAAATTCTCAAGTTCTTGTAATTTTTTCTTCAGTCCACGTTGTCGCTTTCATGGGAAAGGTGTTAACTCGACAAAACAATAAGTTCCATTTGTATTCTCGAAAATACCTGAAAAACGATAATCTCTTGATTCATTTCAAGATCTTTAGAGGTTCAAGTAAGGTTTTTGCGCTCTTGAATATCCGTAGATCTAGAGTGTTCTGAAAAGATATCGAAACAAATCTATAGTAACATTTCACTCGCTCCAATCCCTACTATTTGAGTCATTATTGGAAAAACGTATCGAGTCCTTATGTAAGTGCGAGATCTTTATCAATAAAAAAAACAGCTTTCTGTCCAATGAAATTAACAATTGGGGACATGAAGTTATGATGCCCCACGCATTCTGTTGAATAAATGAAAAAACATCTTGTTTTACAAGAATGCATTTATATCTGTTCAATGTGCCCAGACTTAATATTCTTCTTTATCTCCCGCAGCTTTAAATGATAATTATTATTTTTTACATCTGTTGATTGCGTGGTATTGTATGTCAGTGAACTAGACTGAGGGATGCGACTTGAATGAATTAAAAAAAACATAGTCTCAATATCCAATAAAAAAAGCATTTCTTAGTTCGTAGCTAGTGTTCCATGAGAGAGGAAATTCTTGAAACGTCAATAAAAAAAAATCTATCGCTATTTATTTTCTATCCCAAAAGAAATTATTTTACGGATTACATTAAAATGTGCCCGCTTTCAGCCGCTACATTCTCATAAAAATCCTAATTAAAAGTTGAGTTAACTACTCACATTTAATGATATGTGTTATGACCCTCGCATTACTCGACAAAAGAGTGCGTAAAACTATACGATGAGCGTACTGGTGCGAGAGGCGAGCCTTGAGTAAAGCTTAAAGAGTTCAGTAGCAACATCAGTCCTTGAAAAGAGAAATTTTAAAATTTCGGAAGTGATACTGGACTGTATTCGTTTTGCTCAGCCGCGCTTCCTGATATGCATAAAAAAAACTATTAAACCGCCGCCACTCTTTTAAACGGTCCAATGCAAGACTATAAACCAATGATGACTTGTCTATTCGCCTTTTTCGGCGTTTCAAGACATTTGCAAGAGTCAACTTAGAGTTTTAGGATTTCTCTCCAATGGTCTCTGATCTGATTGACTTCAGCGATCTCCAACCCTCTCCAACCCCAGCCCTCTCCACACGTGTATCATTAGGGAGGATGGTAAAACAAAAGATCTAATTGGCAGAACGATAGCTCAGCACGTGCGTCTTAAAACTTTGTACATTTCTTAGCCGTCCTATGCAAAACAACAACGTGAAATCACCACAATTTGCGTTGTCTGCAGACCGAAACCGCGACGGCGAATTATTTTAATTTCCGTTTGGAACTCAACGCTCCTTTTATACGTTATGCGGAAGTTGAGGTGTGGCGCTGTTAGAGACGGTAAACAAATGCAGCCATTTTTTAATTTCTAATTAAAGGCAGAAATTTATTTTTTAATCGAATTCTTCCTTGGCGTTGCCGTCCTGACTGCTTAAGGTCCCTATTATCTCCTACGGTTACTTTAGGTCGTGCTGTCCATAAGCCATTTGTGAGTCTCACTATAAGGCGCATAAACTGTTTTAAGCTTTCATTTGTTATTTCTGGGACTTGATTTCTTTTTTTCAACTTATTCCACAATAGAATTGTTGGCTTCTTCTACGATGATGAATATGTGGGAGAGAAACCGGACGAGAGACTGAGAAGGAGTCCTGTGACGTCAAGACCCTTCAGCAAGATGCAAGTGAACGAAGAGGGCGATGCATCGTAAGTACCCATAATGCTTTGAGCTCTAGGAATAGATAAACTCAGTCAAAAAACTTGCATATCTGTTTTAAGTGATTCGCGCCTGCGTTATCTTATTGTGACCTTTTTTATTCAATAGTGGAGCAAGAAAAGAGGATCAAGAGGCGATTGAACAGGCCTGGAAAGAAGAGAAACAAAAGATTAACTCAGATTCGAATGGAGCACAATCCTACTCAACCATAAACAACGGCAAGGAGTAACAAACTTACAACCCCTCACTCTTAAATTCATTTCTACACGCAATTAACAGACTTCATATAAAAATATCGTAATATTTGCATTTATTTTGTGTCTTTTCGTTGGATGCTCGATTCTAAGTAGCTAGTGTAATGTTAAATAAATGTCAAGAGACACGGAGTATTAGATCAAGTACTGTGTGATATTGTGGGGCAGGCCCCTAAGCCTTCGAACGATTCAAATCCAATGAAATTGCAGAGGACAAAATCACAACTATAAGGATATGAATAATTAATTGAAACATGGCAGGCACGAAAACTTGATGCTGAGTAGATAGATTTTGCGCCCAGTAGAAGGTGAGATTTCAGTTCTTTCCTGTGGGTTTGACTTTGGAAAAATTTAATAATTGTGAGAGAAAAACAAGTAAACTTTATTCTTTGCTTCTGTCACAAATTTGTAGATCTTTCTCGGAAGGTCGAGTATGTGTAAAACTGAGTTGTAGCATTTTTCAAGAAAATGGACAACTTTCAGACGTGACGAGCCCAATTTTTCTCTCGTGTATACAGGGCACTGGTCAATATTTACGATTTTCAGTCTAGGACGAGGCCAAGAAAGTTTACTTGCGCGAAAACGTTTGAGTACGTGATACAAGTGCACGAGTCCTTTATGCTTCTAGGCGACCTCTTGCACGCGCAGGATGCACATCGAAGTTTTTCGCCGGTGTTAAAAACAAATGATCATCCAGCGAATGATAAAAGTTTCCTGGGTTTTTGAAACAGGATACTTAATTTTATCTACGCCACATGAGAAATTTCCTCGTCTTTGAGAATTCGATGTAGGAAATAGTTTATATAAATTCAAAGTAAAGTAAATTAAATTAACTAGGGTGTAAGTCAAATTCTTCAGCACCGTTCCTTTCACGGTTATGTAAACGTAGGTGAACGTAAATAAAGCTATTTTTTAGAGTTGTGCTGCAAAAACTATTTGAGGTTCGTGTGTTAGAAAATTTCATAAGAATAAACTGTAGAAAAATACGCTAAATGGATCGTATTTTCCACGTAAATGAATGAAATGAGAAATACTTCTGAGTCGCTAATCAAAACGTACATTGAAGATAGATCATTTTCTACATATCACGTTATTTAAATTGTAGTCTTGGCTATAACCTCGTTCTCAGGCTCCTCTCTCTGTCTCCCTCTCTCCTTCCTTCTTTTCTCTAGGGGGTAGGTGAGAAGACCTTGTAACAAGGTTGTGTTGTCGACTGTTTATTTGTTTGTCTTTTTGTTTACAAATATAATAAATTGGCGCGTCAGTATGGGTGGACATATCACTAGAGTTTCCCAAAAACCGGAAAGTGTAAAATAAATTGCATTTCATTCACCTGAAAGTTAACTTGAGCGAATAGTGATTCTTGTATGGTGGTATTGAACTTCCTGCGTGCTAAATATACTTAAATGATTGCCTTTTCCTTGGACAAAAGACAAATGAGAGGAAGATCAACAAATTTGACCTTAAAATTGTTTCCTTACTTGGAACTGGTTAGCTCAAATGACCACCACAAACCACATAATACCAAGCCGAGGTTTAATAATTATTCAAGAAATACATTTATAATTCGCAATCAGAACAAACGCAGATCAAGTCTTTATCTCGTAGCTAAATTCAAAAACTTCAATGTAAACTTACTTCTGTGGCGGATCGTCGCAATAGTCTCACTTTACAGGTTAGGAGATTCTTTTGGTAAGCGGATTCAGAGGTAAACAAATAAAGACAAAATAACTTCTTTCTCACTTCGATTCCGCTGAAAAACTGACTTGAAACAAAAATATAACGCTTTTAAATCAAAGTGTAGAATTGATGTCAATCACGATTCTTGTCGCTAAATAAATCTATCAACAAGAGGCGACGCCTACTTGATAAACGAAACAAAAATAACTTGATTTACATTTTTTGAAGTGTGAAATGAAACTAAGGAGTTAAAATATAGGGTTACGCTAACCTCTGGAAGCCTTCACGGTGTCACCTTACATTACGCTTTCTCCTCGCTCAGCGGTGAGATACGAGCTAACCATGGGAGCCACTTGTTCCAAATGTTGTTTGTGTTACTGCTTTAAATTAGTTGAGTTTGGAGACAGCTTTCGCTGCCGCCATTCCTGTTGCATCCAATACTGTGAACCTTGCTGTCACTGCGGCGACTGTTGCGATGCAGAAGATGATTTACCGTTCGTGAAAGAAACTGAACTAGTTTCAAGCGAAGAGGAAGCTGTTGTTTATCTAAATGGGGATAAGTACAAAGGCGCCATGCAAAACAACAAGAAGCATGGATACGGTGAGCTTACACGCAAAGATGGAACGAGGTAATCTGGAAATTTTAAAATACCTTTGCTCGATTAGAAAAGGTTTCATGGACATACAGGTTGTCACAAGAGGGTCAGAAAATTTTGAAAGACTTCTGGACCACTGTCACGACGGGTAGCCCGTTCCCAGAGACGGAACATCATGATCGTGATGAGTGAGTTTTTCAATGTTCTCATCCCTGCGACGGGAATTTTTTTAAGGCTGATTTGTCTCAAAAAAGACACAATCCTACTACAAATTCTAATCAAACCTAGATATAGTTGACGAATTGCTACCCGGCATGTGATGCACCGCACTAAATTAGTAATTTTATCGCAGATTCAAAGGAAATGTGGATGAGTAAAAGCGACCAAGAGGAGGTGACAGGGGAGGAACGGGGGAGGGAAGTAAAGATTTTGCTCTTTGGTCGACGGGTATGTTGTCGTGCTTTCAGTTTTGCTTTTCTCTTCTTGTTCAACAGTTTAAAAGGCTATTTTGTTGATGATCATTTTATTGGCGAGACACCTGCAGACAATTTGGCTGTGGCTAGTGCTACAGATCATGAATCAAATAGGTAAGTCTTAAAGTTCTGAAAAACAATTTCTCTGTAACTGGTTAGTGCAATAGTCATACTGACTGATGTTTTTCACCGATTAGCTGAGCTAATTGAGCTAAGTGCTGGACCTAGTCTGATATAATCTCGTACTCAGATCCTACTATGTAACGTGACTGACCGCTTCGCAGTGGGAGGTCTGGGCACAAGACAAAGCCTGATAATAACGGAATTCCTTTTTCCCTCTTTTTTTGTTTTTTGAGACTAGCAATCTTACCTTTGGCTTCAGAGTAACTTCAAAATATCGATTTAATTTGATTAAAAACACCAATTTAGAAAAGGTTAAATGAAACTAAATATTCAAAGATACACCGACTGCAATGCAGCTCAGAATGAAATGATAGACCAAAATGATTTATTTTACTGAAAAGTTCGCCATTTGAAGCTCTCTACTTTCATTATCATTTTAATGCAGTGCTTTAAAGCAAGCCGGATCAAATGTCTCTCATCGTGAACTTCAACCTCTAGCATCTACTGATGGCCCAGAGGAACGTCTTCGGGACACATGATTTGACACGGGCCAATTAATTACGAGGCTGATGAGTCATACTTTTCGTTCGTCTCGTTTCCAGGGTTGGAAGCAAGGCTGGTCCACGTAGTAGTTTGCATCTCGACAATTTATTGTTTGTTATACAACAATGCAATTGACCAACGAGAAACTTAATTGAAACTGCGGCAATGGGTTCAAGGCGAAACTGATGCGTAGCAAAAATGAAGAAAGAGACCAATAGGGCTTGGTCATCGTCAGTCTTAGGAAAGTAAAACTGAAAGTAATGATACCATTTAAAGGTTTATTAGTCTACTAAGCTACCTATAATATTGAGTGACGAAACTTATTTTCTTTTTCTCGTTCTAATTCACGTCAGTCAGAAAAATTTAATTGCAAATGACAACAGTTGAACAGAAAAGTATAACTCAGGCCGATGCTACCTTCACCGCAAAATTAAAGGGATGCCCCTCGGGGATTTAGCCTATTGAAAATGTTCCTTGCTGTGACACTCCTTAGAAAAAGATACAGCGACGCAGCAAGATTTTACAAAATGAGGTTCACCAGACCATCTTATTGCGATCTGAAAGCATGTCAACTCTTTTTAAGATTAGAGGATTTGATTTTGAAAAAAAGGGAGAAAGGTGTGGCTAAATGCATCCAAAGGGGCGTAACTGATGAGGGTGGGGGAGGGGAGCGCGGGTGCCCATGACACTCCCTACTTACGTCATTTTCTTATAAGCCCTATAATTCTGGCGCGCGAATCTGATGAATCTGTAGGGCATAAATCTTTTCTAGTGCTAGTTACTCCATTTTCTGGCCCTCTTTAGTAAATAGTAGCCCCCCCCCCCCCTCCGATACACATGGTAGAGCAGTGGTGTAATTAAATTGACAGGTTTCGACCTGAAGATATTTCAAATATGCAAATGTAATTCAGCTCCCTAGATCTGATAAGTGTACATTTTAAACATTAGAGCCTGGGAGATTGCCTGGTATTATTATCAAGCTTTCATAGGTTTTTCCTTCCTTGATCGCATTAGCCTAAAAGAACGGTAAGTTTCTCGTCAGAAGTCTCAAAGTCAAGGTATTTTATGTGGCTCTGTCATTTTCCCGCCATATCTGCCGGCCAAGATGCCCATATATGGAAGGTAATCGGGTTCGGTCACCATCGGGAACAATCGGGTCCTTTGTTTGCTATTTTCGGCGACAATCGGCTGGCCATCGTTCGGCCGAAGTGCCGGATCCGTCCTCCCGTGGTTGTTGTGTAAGTGTTTGAGGAAGGTGGCTTTTGGGAAACGTCTTACTTCCCAGCGTTCATCACTTGAAGCCCGGCGTGCTTTGCGTTTACCCAAACTTCAGGTATCTGTCGTTTTCTTTTGGTATCGCAGAATGGATCGTATGAATGCTATTGGTGATTTAATATCCGTACGAGTGAAAAATTTTGAGCGTTTATGCTCCTCTACGGCGTATTAGCGAACAACAATGGCGGCCACGGGTTCTTTTACTATCGATTTTGATCGCGGATGGCGCTTCTCAGCCAGAAACGCGGCTTAGTCGCTGAAATTTTTAAAAGATGTTCGAAGCATATTCCGTCGTAGGCTCGAATGACTGAGTTTTGTCGAGCAGGGGTGATATATTCGGGGTGAGATTGTGAGCTGTAGCGGTTAAAATTTGAATGTATAATTACGGACCTTGAACGACTTTGAACGCGCATGCTGCTTCGTTTTGTTTAACTGTTAGGACATTGAAATTTTATTCGCGATACGAAGTCAGCGATAGAAAATGGACGATTTAAACTTAACTTCTGCATTGCAGTAGAAGTTTTTTTGAGTTATGCCTGTTTTACTCAGGTGAGCGGACAAGCCAAGTCGAACAAGACCCGAGAATAAATGTGAAAGTTCCCGTCTAGTGTCAAATGTGGCTTCGTTATTGGAATTTTATTCATTTCTTAGACAATTCAATTGAAAAGCTGTCGGTTTTAAGATAATCGATTATATCAAGAACTTGACTTGCCTAGAAATGAATAGATGTATCAATAATAATAAGTGAGTAAATATAGTATTTTCCTCAATAGATGTTATTCTTTACTCGGGTAAATTTATAAATTCAGTGGACTTATTGACTGAGTGGGAGGGTAAGATGGGAAAATATGTCACTCAAGTATGTAGACCAAGTGCAACAAAGTCTGCTTGTTATGACTGCGGGCCAAACATAGTACAATATGATACAATCAAACTCATTCACTAAGTAATTTATGAAGGATCCCTAAGTTTTGAAATTGTTTTTTTTTAACATAATTAGGATGTAGTCCATGTTCAGAAGAAGCCAGCGCTAGACATCTTCAAAAGAATATATAATGGAAAACTTTTCCTTTATTTCTTCAAGTCAGAACAAAAGAAAAACTCATTGAAAAGTGTGACTTATTTTCCTATCTCTCAACCAGTTGTTCACAATTGGTATTCATGTTTTTAGAAAATGCAAAGAGCTAGGCCAGTATGGGGTGGCATGTGTTTTGTGGGCTGGCTCATGTTGACCCTTCTTATCCTACTCGCTACAGTTTATCATGGTTTTCTCTTGTATTGTGCAAGTAGAGTGGAATGGGTTGTATAATGATATATAGTATTAGAGGACGTTCACATTGGGAGAATGCACACAATTTCAAAAACATTTACATTGAAAGATGAGACACTACTTTTTTTGGGATACATTTTCTTGGTGATCACGATTATCACTTGGGGAATGATGGATGTTATCTATGCTTTCTTGGAAGAGAAGGATTATCATGATAAAGGTCTTTCATGAATAGTATCTGCACAAACATTTCCCATAAAGGCAGTGGGCCTCATTGTTCTCATATCATGCCTTTTAGGTGTCAATTTTTTTTACAATTGAGTGTAGACATACACTTTGCTGACTCAAGTCTACTCTGAATATTTCTAAGTCCTTTTCACCTACTTTTAAAGTTATCTAGAAACATCTCTTTTAGTGCACAACTGCCTGAGGACTGTTCCAAATTTTATATTTTGGAAGTAATTTAGATCACCTTGTGTATTGTGGATTATACAGTTTACTCTCAAGAACTCAAGTCCTTGCTTTTTCCAAGCTTATTTTAGCTAGAAACAAGTCATCAATCATACCTTTACCATAACCTTCCCCTAGGTTACTTAAACTCTCAGCAAGTGTACCTCATGCTTTCTTGAATATTGCCCCTTAAGAAGGGTTTCTTTATGAGTTTACGCTTGACAATTTAGACCATGTTTTTCACACATACACGAGAAGTCAAAACAAGTAGTTCTGTTGTCAAAAACATAAATATTAAACATCTATTTTTTGTTCCTTTTGTGGGACACACAGAGTGTGTCACATGTTACCAAAATATATTGCTATATCCCCCAGATAGAGGTTTATCCAGTGGATAGCAATGGTAACCATGTCTCCTATTTTATGGCTTATTCAGGGTATAACATTTGTTTTTAGCATCCCCCTTCTTCAGCTCACTCATCCACTACTGTAAATGCAATTTTCTGTTTTGATATTCCTTATACAAGTTCTTAGACACATACTGTGTGTGTTGTGTTGTGTGCAAAGTCTCCAACATGATATTCATGCTCAAATTTTTTTTTTCAGACATTAGCCTTTGTGAGGAAAATCAATGGATGCTGACTTGGATGGAATGATCAAAGACGAAAAGGAGGTGCAATTAGAAGGTACTCTGATTTTATATTTAATTTTGGGTATTGAAATGATTTCAAATTTAAATTGACAGATTCCAAACTAGTTGAAATTTTTATGATAATATCTTACCACTTGGAAAATGAAAGATGATTGGGTGTTAAGAAGCAATATCAAAAGCCTTGTCATTGAAAGCGCTGTTAAGGAACTTGAACATGTGTAGGAAAGCAAATCTGGGATCCATTCTCGTCATTTTTTTCTTCTCTTCCAATTAGCTGATCCCAAGTACTCTTGTGCTATTTTTGCGAAGATGCAAATTCAGATTTATTTTCTAGAAATATTTAACAACATCTATCCAATTTATGGTGAACAACTACTGATCTTTACACTAATTGCAAATCTTGAATTTTAATGATTTTTATCCCACACTTTGTTACTATCAGAACCAAGTGATCTGGTACCAGTATCTGTCAGTCACATTGCTGGTCAGCCAATCAACTCTACAGAGCAAGAAGTGATTGGTCTGCTATTAGCCCAGCAGCAAGTTTTTACAAGTCCCAGTAAACTTGAGCCATCAAGTGTCTATGCAAACCAATCTTCTGTTCCCAGTGCTGTAGCAGTGGTTACAGGTGATGTGTTACAGCCACACGACACTGAAAACAAAGCTATTGTCATCGTAAGTGTTACTAATTGTACTGATAAATAATGGTAATAGGACTGAGTGGAGTCCAATTTGGTCTGTAATCATATGAGTGATAAACAAAATTGGATGATCAAGAAACAGGAGTCTGATTTGCTAAATATTAGTATGGTTACAGACAGAATTGGATATTTGCACAAAGTCCTGTCACCAATAAATTAAAACCATGACAAAATTTGAGAAAGAAACTAGACATTGGTTACACATTTTCTTAAAAAAAGTAACAACAGAACTTTAACCCTGTGAAATGGGCAATAACAGCCCATACACGTGATGGGTACTGTCCACTCATGCAGGCCTGATGTGTCAACTGTCCTACTACACTGTTAAATTACAAGCATGTAGCTTACACTGTCCTATTAATTTTCAAATCAGGCAGGTGATGAGCAATCATATTCAAGAATTTTGTTTTCATTTTGATTAAGAATAGGAGACATTTTTTATGATTAGCCCTTGGTTAAGAATATTATTATTAGCTGAATTGTGGCCATCATTGAGAGAACTGGGGCTTCTCTTAACCAGCCTATGTGGGATTTTAGAACAAGTTACTGTCCTCTTTTCCCCTACTGATGGGTTTACATCCATGAGACGATTCAGCTTGTCTCCTTTTTCCATTATAAATTTGAATTGGATTGGGAGTTTTTTGCCATTGTGGAAGAGGAAACACTGGGAAAGAGAGAACATTCAGAGAAAGGAAATTAATCAATTGTGCCAATACGATGGGAGTTGATAGAACCACCTTACCTTCTCTGATCCAGCCTTATATTTATCTCAGAATGTAACTTCTCTATCTCATAATTTCATGTGATACTCCAGTTAGAATTCTCATGGTAATTTTGCATTTTGTCAGAGGTGAAATGTAATTTGTGTCACAACAACTATGAAAATTAGTCTTGTCTAGGAAACCTACAGAGGATGTGGTG